TGGTGCAGCCAGTCAATGGAAAGAGGAAAATTTAATCACTTCACTTCCATGGCCTGCCCAGAGCCCTGATCTAAATCAAATTGAGCATTTGTGGGATGTTTTGGAAAGACGAATTCATGCACGTCCAACTCACCCCAAAAATTTAGAAGAATTGATGGATGCACTTGCGGAGGAATGGGAAATGATTAAACCAGAAAGTATGCCGAGAAGAGTACAAGCTGTAATTGATGCTAATGGGTATCCAACCCGATATTAATTATATGTATAAAAAGCCCTACTTTTACTGAATAGAATGATATATTTTTCATTAAATAATTATAATTTTATCTTGTTTGAAAATTATCAAATGTTATTTTGAACTTCAGAACTTGTGAACTAGTTTCTAGAAATATACACATATGTAATAGCAGTGATAAAAATAATGATTAAATCATTTACAAAATGATCTCGAATTAAATTCTGGGTTATGTAGGCGAAAAGATTTCTGTATCACAAAATAAAAGTCATTCAAGACAAATTTCTTTACACTAAATAAAGAACAACTTTTTATATCGATATTGGTTTTATTATTTTGTTATGTTTTTATTATAATAAATAAAACCTTTTCGAAACCTTTTCGAAATAAATTGATTTTTTTAATTTTAAGCATTATTTTCATCAATTTGCAATGTTAGAACTTCAAATTATAAAGCATATTGATTATATTTGATAAAATTAAATCTCATTAACAATTAAATTATTTATTAGATACATTTTATATATTAATCTAATTTTAGATAGCAGACTTTATAAAACAATAACTCAGAAAAGTCTTTTTTATAAAATATATATAATTAAAATAAGTACATTAAACTAAATCCGAATAAATTAATTAAATAAAATTTATTTTTAACGTTAATTTTTATTTAAGGTACAAGCCAGACCATATTCCGGTTTAAAAAGGTTTGTTTTTATAGTAATCATTGAGTAAATCATAACAACCACAAACAGAGTTTTTTGTTTTCATAACCAAAAAGATTAGCGTCGTCGATACTATATTGGTTGAAAGATTGAATCAATCGCTACGAAGCACATTATCATACATTATCTTTATGGGGGGACATACAGATACTATTTGTCGCACAAATTTCACAGCATTATTTGAACAACAAATTGGCAATCGCTGCCTCAATATTTCAAGTACATGTACCGTGAATTCAACAAACTAGCTTTAAACAAAAAAAAAAAAACTTTGAATAGCCATGTCAATTTCAAAAATAACCACAGCCTTCGATTTCGACAATATCTTCTGCGACATTCGACCAAGCTACAAATCCAATTATGATTATGACGCTTACGATTTCTCAATACTAAATCCAATAATGAAAATCTTCAAAGACGGAAATGCCAAATGGGTAAAAGACACAAGGCTGGCCAAAGATATTGAAAATTGGTTGTCAACTCGTAAAATAGCGCCAAAATATTTATTTGAGTTGTTACTTGATAAACGTGAGTTAGAGCCAGAAAATGCTGAAGTCGCTTGCTTGCTCGCGCTTCTCTATCACAACGGATTGGGAACCGATAAGAGTGGGAAAAAAGCATTTAAGATGCTAAAGGAAGTTGCACAAAAAGGTGATAGTTTTGCTGCGATACAACTCGGATGTTGTTATGAGATTGGAATCGGGACATCTCAGGATGAATTCGAAGCATTCTATTGGTACTCTGAATCAGCGAAATCAGATTTCGCCGGTGGGTATTGGTATATGGCCGCATGTTATGAGCAAGGAGTCGGCACAAAACAAGACTTCAAGTTAGCCGTCCAGTATTATCAAAAATCTTTTGATATGGGTTGTTTTCCCGCGGCTCTTTATCTAGCAAAATGTTACCGAAATGGAATTGGAGTTGATCAAGATATTGCGAAAGCATTTCATTTAACTTTGGAAGCGACTAAATGTCAATTTGGTGGTGCTTATACCGAAATTGGGAGGTATTATTCACGCGGTCGTGCCACAATAAAAGATGTTCATAAAGCTATAAGATTCTTTCGTTTAGGTATAGAGAATGAAGATGATGAGGCTTATGGACAAATTGTGAAATTGTTTTATCCACTTATTGCCGAGTAAAATTAATTAGGCGTGTGCTGTTCATGAGAAATTTTACTTTATGTGTTTGGTTATGCATAATGCTAACACACATAATCTTTATCGTTATATCATTCTTTGAAGTATATCAAGTATAAAATGTACAAGAAAATGGATCAAGGCTTGAAATGACATTCATATTATTTAAGATTCTACATTATGTAATGTATAACGTTGTTACTACTTTATTTAAAACGCTTTGTTTCTTCAAAGACGGTGTACCTCGAAAAAAAAAGGACGGCTTGTGACAGAATTGGTTTGAACAAAAAACGCAATCGTTTACAACGTTGTCTGATTTGTAATTTTTGTTTTTCATGATACTGCTGTGTCGACACGTCAACTTGTCATGAAACTTGAAATATACCACTTACACAATGCTATTTGACGATAAGTATGTGCCCATTGGGCCATTAACATAAAAGTATGGGCGCAATGCTAATTGGTGTAAACGATGATTGCAGGATAAGAAAGCATTTGACATAAGGTTCGTTGATGACGTAAAAAGAAAGGATAAATTTCAATAAATAGTAAACCATTTTTATTGCAACCAAACTCCAGAAGAATTTTATCTGCAACAAGATGATCTTTCAAAAATAGAACCATTTCGTTTTAAGCTATTTAGAAGACAATTACATGTATTCCCATAAAGCATATTTTAGTTTTCGATTACGAATTCTTTACAGATGTATTTTTTAAAAAGTAAATGATTATCATTATCAATTATCTATCAATGACGATAATCTTGAACAAGATACATGTAAATGATTGTCATTTGTCGATACATGTACAAAAAAGATGCTTTTATATGTACATGTAAAGTGTCATTTACATCTCTTAAAAACATATCAGACTTTTTCGTATATTTCGTATTTTTTTTTTTACAGTTAAGTGTATGTAGTCTTTACCTGCAAATATTATTGTTAAAGGCATAATTTATATTAATCAAATACCTGGATGAAAAACTTAGCATTAGATGATAATGAGCAGATTTTATTAAATCCCGCTAATTTAATTATTTCGAGCTCAAAAATTAGCCCACTATTCCAACATTGGTTATCAGCGATATTCTTTATGCCAATGTTTAAATTATGAGTAAAATCATTGTATGTAGTTTTTATGTTACAGAATGGGATTTTTGTAAGGGATTTGATTTAATAATAGTGAAAGTGGAATTGCAAACGAAATTAGGAACAACAATGAAATATGAATTAGCAAAGGGAAGTACGTGTTGCACAGCAAATTTCATTTAAACATTCTTTCTATATGTACAAGCACTTATGTCGACAAAATTGAATACATGCGCTGCTTTTTGTAAACACAAAATTGGTTGCTTTGGCTTGTAAATAGTATCATTTTTAAACAACAATTACGATATCTCGATGCATGTACATGTACATGTACATGTATATTGAATGAAAAAATGACTAATTGAAGGAACCACATGCAAATACATGCACATATCGTATACATTGAGAAAATTAGACCAAAATTTATTGTTTTATGTTTTCATTTTTTCAATTTCTTTTTCGAACTTAAACAATTAACATTAATTGTCAAAAAATGTATTTATAAGCTTTAATTTAAATACAGTATATCGTAAACTTTTGATCAGAACAATTCAAAGTCTTTGAAATAAAATTTACGATAAATTTAATTAAAAATAATGGACAGTAATAATAAAAACGCGCCAAGCGTTGACAGCATAGAAAGAAAGAGACTTTTGGGAACTTTGGCTGGTATTGGTAATAATTGCAATAACATGATTGGTGCTGGCATATTCTCAAGTCCCGGATTAGTTTTAAGCGAAATCCAGTCTCCCGGGATAGCATTAATTTTATGGGTAGTGGGTGGAATTGCCGTTTTGTTTGGTTCACTTTCTTATGTGGAGGTATTTATCCTTTGTTTTAAATTTAATATCAATTTGCTTCTCTAATTTAAAAGTTTAATACATGTATATGCCAGTTGGGGAGTTCTATAACAGATGGGGGCGGAGAGGTTGTGTATCTGGAAAAAGCATATCCACGTCCTAAAGCGCTATTTAGTTATACGTTTAGTTTTGTCATGATCGTGGCAATACGCCCAGCTCTTATATCCGCTATCGCAAATGTTTTCGCACAATACTTCTTATATCTAATTAAAGCGAAAGATCGTTGTGACATTGACTATCTGCATCCAAATGCATATATTACTGATTGGAATTTTTGGTAAGAGTTCAATGACCATTTTACTATACTCCCTCCACCTGATCGGTTGATCAATTTTGATTAGTTGAGAAAGTTTGTTGATCACCTGATTTTTGAACTTAATGCATGCACATGTAAATCGTTATAGAATTCATATCGATATACTAAATCTAGAAATTCTGTTACATGTACATGTATTAGGCAATTACGACTTTGTTCGTTAGCCGCACTAATTATAGTCACAATTTACCACGTGGTATCCAACAAATGGGCAAATCGTATAAATCAAACTCTCACAATTATAAAGACCTTGACTCTGATTTTGATATCGATTATTGGATTCGCAACAATCCCTACGTTTATTCATGATGCAGATACGAATTGGAAGAATATGTTTCCTAGTAATGCAACAATCACTGCAAATTCTTTGACTGCTGCACTTATTCCTATTTTATTTGCATATAACGGATGGAATAATTTAAATTGTAGGTGATAAAATTTATATATGCGTTTCAGTAAATTCGAATATTTAAATCTTTTTTATAGATACCTTGGATGAATTCGTCGATCCGGCACAAAAACTAAAGAAGTCGAATAGTATTAGCGTCCTTATTGTCACTTTTTTGTGTAGGTATTATTTGAATAAGCGAACGAATACTTTGATCTTTTCTTATAACTTATAATATTCGATATGTACTAGACTTTTGTGCTAATATCGCATATACGAATGTACCATTATCAAAAATAACTGGCTCTAATGAACCTTCTGAAATCATTGCTGGCAAATTCGCTTTACAAGTCGGTGGTTTTAATTTAGCTCGTGCATTATCTTTTTTCGTCAGTTTATCAGCTTTTGGAGCATTGGCCGCCAATGTATGGGCCGGATCGCGAGTAATTGTAGCCGCTGCTAAAAGCAAATATATCCCTTATAGGTTACAACAATGGAATCGAACCACAGATACGCCGATTTATGCATTGGTATAAAAATATATTTTCGCCTTATTTTCTTGTTTTCTTAAACAATTGTTTTATTATTATTTTTTTTAGATAGCACAAGCAGTTTGGTGCTCATTGATTATTATCTTTTATCCACATAATGATCCATTTAAATTCTTTGTTAATTTGGGCGAGTATTGCTTGGATATATTTGTACTTTTGAGCGTTTTGGGATTATTGGTAATCTTTTTTATTAATTCGTATTTTGTCGAAACTTTCAATATTCTAATTATCATTTTACAATTCTTTTAGTATATGCGCCATTCTCAGCCCGGGCTAGAACGTCCATTCAAAGTGTGGATCATAATACCCATAATATTTAATTTATTTGCGCTGTTTATCATAATTGGATCTTTTGTCAACACGTCAAAAATACCGATATCTCCACAAGTAGATCACTCATACGATCAACAATGTCAAAGCTCTAAAGGTTTCAAATACGCAACATATAAATATTATCTTCCTTATGTTGTTAGTTTTGTGGTAATAGGAGTTGGTGAAATTTTCTGGTTCATTTACTACAGACCACATATTCCGTCGGAAGATATTTCGTATCAACCAGAAGTCAGAAATAGCAATAGCACTTTTGGATCTTATAGATCTAACCGCTAGAGATCAACAATCACATGATATATAAATGTTCATCTATTCATCGTCATGTATTATTTTTGATTTAATAAATAAATTAATATATGTAATGTTAAATAGAATTTTACATAAAAAATATTGCTCATGATATTTCAGATGCTAAAAGATTACTATTAAAATTAATATTAAAAAAATCCAATTTCAAATAAGATTAATAATAAAATGAACAAAAGAATATATAGTGACAACTGAAAGTCATTTATAAAACATAATAATAAAAAACTAAATTTTCTCTTTTATATTTAAATTTATAATTTTACTAATAAATATTATTTATTTTATATCAAAATAAAGTTTATAATTAATAATTTAACATATACTTTTTAAAATTTGTAGACTTTTCTAAAAGCATTTTTTTAATTAAAGAGTTATCACAAAAAATTATTCTAATTTTAATTAAAAAAAATATGATAACTTTATAATTAAAATATCTCTTAGAAAAACTCTAACTTTTATTTTTAAACTATAAATTATGAACTTATATTAATATAAAATTAAAAATGTTTTATTGAATTATAAATTTTAATATAAAAAAAGTTTCAATTTATTATATTTTGTTAAAAGATTTAATCCATAAATATATAATTTTTGGCAGTTATTATATATAATAAAAATATTTTATAATTTAGAAAATAAGCTACTTAATATATTATTAAATAAATTATTTATTAAAATAAAAGATAAAATAGAGATTAACAATAATAAGTATCACAATTATTATAACATAGTAATGCTTTATTTATTATAATATTGCAACTTAAAATTACTAAGATTGCAACTAGTTGCAATCCAATAATGCTTATTTATCATAATATTGCAATAGTTGAGAAGTTATCTTTAAAGATTAATATAAAATATTATATATAAATAATAATTTTAATAATAATTAATTAATTTAAAATTAAGTATATATTTTTATAATATAAAAATAAATCTTTATAATTTTAATTATATTTATTATAAAATAATATTAAATAAATTTATTAAATAAAATTAAAATATATATTTATTAGTTTTATAATAAATAAATAAGTTTATTAATATTATTTATAAATATCTAATTTTTTATTTTTTTTAATTAAAATAAAATATTTTAAAAATAATTTAATTATAAGAATATATTTATAATAAAATTTTTTATATTATATCTAATATAATTAAATCTTTTTATAATTATATTTTTTATATAATAACTCTCATAATTATGAAATTAAAAAATTAATTTTATTAATAAAATATAATAAAAATTAAAATTTTTTCTCTATATTAAATTTTATAATTTTATTAAGAAAGAATTTTTATTTTTATATTAAAATAAAGTTTATTAGTTATAATTTAATATATATATTTTTTTTGATTTTTTAGATTTTTTCTAAAAGAATTATTCTAATTATAAAATTAATGTAAAAATTTTTATTAATTAAATTTTATTTTTTATTAGTAAAAATTTTTGTATTAACTTTATAATTAGATCAACTCTTTTATAAAAAAT